TTATTTAAAATATTTTCCCCTTGTTAATCATTTCCCTGATGCATTTTTTATTTTCCGGAGTTTCCCTATAAATTCCGTCCCGGCAACATGGGAATTTTAGGAGTTTTCAAATAATAACGAACATTATATATACAATATATTATTTTGCGGATATATTATTTTAATACATGATTTGTTAATTATTAATCCATATAAATAATTACAGCCACAAATGAATAATACAAATGTGAATTATATCATTAATTAAATTTATATATTTTAAAAGCAAACATATTTTAATTTTACAACAAAAAGCTCTTTTTTGTTGTTATAAGTTTGTATTTATTCAAGCATTTAATTATTTAACTACTTTCACAGATTTTAGATAATATTTACACATATAGTTATATAGCAAACATTATAAACAATTGTTAATTATGTCATGCAATATATCATAAAAAATACACTTTTACTAACTATTATAATAACTTAATGTTTAATCATTATAAACTAGTTTAATTAAAGTATTTGTATAAAAATATACAAATTTTAAATTAACTGATAATAAAATGAAAATATTTAATATTAAAAGTTATTTAATATTATTTGTGTCGATATTTTGTTTGAGTTGTATTATATGTATTGATGTGAAGACAACATCGGGTGTAGTGAGCGGTCGGACACTACATGTGTCCAACAAAACTGTTAACCAGTTTCTGAATATACCATACGCTGAGCCCCCGATCGGAAACCTACGGTTCGCACCGCCTGTGCCTCTCAAACAACCTTTAAATGTATATTAAATTTAAAAAACTAATTTTTACTATTATAATTATACAAATTAATTTAAACCGAGTATATTTAATTATTAAGTATGTTATCAATGGTACAACACGTGGTAAGGCTTGCATACAAGTGGTGGAAAAACTTGTCATAAGTGAAGACTGTTTGGTATTAAACATATGGACACCAAATGCGGGCAATAATAACACAAACAAATCACAGCTCAAACCCATTATGTTTTGGATACACGGCGGAGCTCTTGTATTTGGGTCAATAAATATGTATAACGGTAGTTTTTTGGCCGCACACGATGTGGTTTTTGTTGCAGCTAATTACCGTTTAGGACAGTTGGGCTTTCTATACGCGGATCGGGAGGACGCGCCCGGAAATGTCGGCTTTTATGACCAGTTATTGGCTCTCAAATGGGTATTCAAGCCAAAACTTGTTTTATCACTATTTTCTAAACTTATTCATTGATAACAATAATGTATGAATTAATAATTTAATGATAGGTTAAAGAAAATGCCCATAAGTTTGGCGGAGATATGGATCAGATCACCATTTTTGGTGAGAGCGCCGGGAGTTGGTCGGTGTCCGCACACATACT